GTTGCTGATCAAAGACAGCTGGGAGTGCAGGTTCATAGTTCCTTGAAAATGGAATTGCAGGTACATAATGAAGAAGGCATTTGGTATGCGTGCTTTTATTGGTCAGTGCATTGAGTATAAGAATTGGGAGGTCATATTGCACTTGTACAGGACATTGTTTAGGCCACTTTTCGAATGCTGCATTCACTTCTGGTCTCCCTGCTATAGGAAGGATGTTGTCAAACCTGAAAGGGTTCAGAAAACATTGACAAGGATATTGCCGAGGTTGGAGGATTTGTGCTATAGGGAGAAGCTGAATAGGTTATTTTTCCTGGAGCATCGGAGGCTGAGGGGTGAACTTATAGAGGTTTATACAATCACGAGGGGCATGGATAGAATAAATAGACAAGGTCTTTTCTCCTGGATGGGGGAGTCCAAAATTAGAGGGCATAGGTTTAAGGTGAGAGGGGAAAGATTTAAAAGGGACCCAAGGGGCAACTTTATGACGCAGAGGGTGGCACATGTATGGAATGAGCTGCCAGAGGAAGTGGTGGAGGCTGGTACAATTACAACATTTAGAAGGCATCTGGATGGGTACATGAACAGGAAGGGTTTAGAGGGATAAGGGCCAAATGCTGGCAAGTGGGACTAGATTAATTTAGGATATCTGGTTGGCATGGGCAAGTTGGACTGAAGGTTCTGTTTCTGTGCTGTATATCTCTGTGACTCTATGACTCTAGAGGACAGTCAGCTCAGCTCTCGTACATCTCTGCACGAGTTCCTCAGGGTACTATCCTCAGCCCAATATTGCTTCATCAATGACCCTCCCTCCATCATAAGATCAGAAGTGGGGATGTTCGCCAATGATTGCACAATGTTCAGCACTATTCATGACTCCTCAGATACTGACGCAGTCCATGTTCAAATTCATCAAGATCTGGACAATATCCAGGCTTTGTCTGACAAGTGGCAAGTAATATTCATGTCACACAAATGCCAGGCAATGACTATCTCCAATAAGAGACAATCTAATCACCGGCCCTTGACATTCAATGGTGTTACCGTCACTGAAACCTCAAATGTTAATATCCTGGGGGTTATCATTGATCAGAAACTCAACTGGACTCATTGCATAAACACTACAAGAGCAGGTCAGAGGCTAGGAATACTGTGAACAGGAACTCATCTCCTGACTCTCCAAAGCCTGTCCACCATCTATAAGGCACAAGTCAGGAGTGTCTTGGAATACTACCTCTTCTTGCCTGGATGGGTGTGGCTCCAAAAACTTTCAAGAAACTTGACAATATCCAGGGCAAAGAAGCCTGTTCAATTGGCACTACATCCACAAGCATCCACTCCCTCTACCACTGATGCTCAGTCACAGCAGTGTGTACTATCTACTAGATGCACTGCAGAAATTCACCAAAAATCCTTATTTAGCACCTTCTGACCCACAACCCACTTCGATCTAAAAGGACAAGTGCAGCAGGCACTTAGGAACACCACCACCTCCAAGTGCCCCTCCAAGTTACTCACCATCCTGACTTGAAAATACATTGCTGTTCCTTCACTGTCGCTGGGTCAAAATTCTGGAATTCCCTCCCTAAGGGCATTGTGGGTCAATATACAGCACATGGACTGCAACGATTCAAATAAGCAGCTCACTACCACCTTCTCAGGGGCAACTAGGCATGGGCAATAAATGTTGACCCAGCCAGTCACATCCATGTCATATAAGTAAATTTTTAAGAAAATTCCCTTGGGTCGGAGACACTCCCACATGGCGTATTATATCCCTTGGTTTTAGATTCACCAGCTAAGGGACCATCTCAGTTGCTTCCAATTTGTCATTCCCATAAAAATGTTGTAAGTTGTAATGGGGTCATCCCTCTTTGAAACTCTACAAATTAGAGACCTTGTCTCCTCAATCTCTCCCTGTGATTCAATATCATCATTCCAGGAGTTAATCTGGTGAACTTCCATTACATTCACTCAACATAATATATCCCTCTTTAGACAATACTCTAGGTGTGGTCTTACCAAGGTATTAGGTACAACTGCAGCACAACATAAAATCCCTACAGTGCAGTTAGAGGCCATTCAGCCTGCATTAACACTCTCAAGAGGATCCCACCCAATCCCCATAACCCTGTATTAACCATAGCCAATCCACCTAGCCTACCCATCTTTGGACTGTGGGAGGAAACCAGAGCACCCGGAGAACACCCGCACAGACACAGGGAGAATCTGCACACTCCACGTAGACAGTCACTCAAGGGTGGAATCAAACCCAATCCCCTGGTACTGTGCTAACCACTGAGCCACTGTCAATTAAGACAGCTTAACTCCCATACATAAATCCCCTTGTGATGAAGGCCAACCTACCATTTGCCTTCCCAATCGTTTGCTGCAACTCCATGCTGACCGCTAGTGATGGGTAAACAAGGATCCCCAGGTCCCTTGAGACATTTGCACTTCTCACCCCCTTCCCATTTAACAGAAACTTTGTCTTATTGCTTTTTTTTTCCAACCAAAGTAAATAACTTCACACTTATTCACATCACATTCCAGTTGCCATGTTCTAGCCCATTCACTTAAATGTCCAAATCCTCTTAAAAATTGTCTTCCTTGCCTCTTCTACTCTTAGCTAATGGGAACAATATTCTTGGTCAGTGCTTTATGTTTATGATAAAGTGCGTCATTGTATCTGTTTTGTGTTGACATACAATAATTCATTAGTCTTTCAGTGAGGGCTGAATGTTTATGTGGATGTTGGGAGAACTCCATGTCCTTTCTCATATAATGGGATCTTTCACACTGACGTGGACTGTCTGTGCTGTTAACGGTTTTGTATCTTATCTGAGTCACAGCAAACTAAGTAAAAGGAGATAAGGAGTAAGTTCCATTTATATAGCACCTTTCATTATCTCAAGATGCACTTCATAGCCATGAAGTACATTTCTTGAGGCATAGGCACTATCCTGCTGTTGGAAATCCAGCCACCATCTTGAATACTTCCCAAAACAGCAATATGATAATGACCAGGTAAAGTGTTATTGTTTCGATCCAGTGACCCTTCATGCCAACTTGCCACTGAGCTTGAAATATTAACTCTATTTTTCTCTCCATAGATGCTGCCAGACCTGCTGAGTTTCTCCAGCACTTTCTGTTCCTGTTTGCGATCTCAAGCATCCACAGCTCTTTCTTTTATTTCATGTGTTTTTGTGACATTAATTGCATGATAAACATTGGACAGGGCCCCTGACAGAACACCCCTGTTCCTCTTCAATATTACATTCACCTGAGATGCGAGATGGCATCTTTGTTTAATGTCTCAAAAGGACAGCAATTTCATTGGCCTTTAAATGTTTGGTGTGCCCTCAGCTTGTGGGACTATGGAAACCTTCCTTTTCTTTTGAGTCATGTTTCTGGTAGATTCAATTACATACCGGGAAAATGCCAGATTGCGAAGACAGTCATAGCAACTGTAGGCAGGTTTAGATTTACAGTAAAACTCTTTACTGGTACCCAGGCTAGAATGAGGTTAAAGCATGATTAGAGTGTAACAGCTAACAATAGCAGTTTGCATTTATGAAGCCTATTCAATATAATTAATGATCTAGGCTACATTACAGAGGTCAAGGAAATGCTTGCAAAGCAGCAATAGAAGAAGGAGATGGCCAAAGCATGACAGGGAGAGAATTAAAAAGGTGACGGGACATAAGAAGGGGCTGTTTGAATGGAGGATGGATGGGACTAAAGAAATTGTGACAGCAATACAAGAGAATAATAGGTAAAGGTACAGTTGCCATAGGCCTGCTCTCTTGTTAGACAGAGATGACTGGTGTTGAGTTTAGTCCGAAGGTCATCAGGCAAGGGGCAAGGGGCAAGGGGCAAAGGGCAAATCAGGGCAGGGCTTATACACTTAATGGTAAGGCCCTGGGGAGTGTTGCTGAACAGAGAGACCTTGGGGTGCAGGTTTACAGTCCCTTGAAAGTGGAGTTGTGGGTAGAGAGGGTAGTGACGAGGGTGTTTGGTACACTTGCCTTTATCGGTCAGTGCATTGAATATAGGAGTTGGGAGGTCATGTTATGGCTGTACCGGACATTGGTTAAGCCACTTTTGGAATACTGTGTTCAGTTCCAGTCTCCCTGCTATAGGAAAGATGTTGTGAAACTTGAAAGTCTTCAGCAAAGATTTACAAGCATGTTGCCAGGGTTGGAGGGTTTGAGCCAAAGGGAGAGACTGAATAGTCTGGAGCCATTTTCTCAGGAGTGTCAGAGGCTGAGGGGTAACCTTATAGAGGTTTATAAAGTCATGAGGGGCATGGATAGGGTGAATAACCAAGGTATTTTTCTCAGGATAGGGGTGTCCAAAACCAGAGGGCATGGGTTTAAAGTGAGAGGGGAAAGATTTAAAATGTACCTTTTCACACAGAGGGTGGTATCTGTATGGAATGTGGTTGACTCTTAACTGCTCTCTGAGCAATTCGGGATTGGCAAAAGTGATGGCCTAGCTAGTGATGCTCACATCCCATGAATAAGTGAAAAAGTGCCCAGTAACGCTTCATCAGATCTTAACTCCTGCTGAGTTTCTCCAGCACATAACGTTTCTGATTCAGATTTCCAGCATCTGCATTCTTTATTTTCTTAAACAATAATCGGTGTTTTGGATAGATGCCTGTTGTGGATTCACATATACATCTAAATATCTAAACTCTTGAGGATAACACACGCTTCCAGCGAGAATTAGACTTTAATCTTCAAAGACCACAACCACTTCCTCGAACAATGTACCTTCTCCCCCTATCATTTGCTTGTCTCAATTATCCGGCTATAATTGGACCGATTATCACATTTCCGTCAAGATGAAAAGGCTAAACCATATACCCATTCATTACAAAAGTGTATTATGAACTGCGAAAACTGCTTTCTTTGGCACTACCCGCATTCATGTCATTGTTCACATTTCTCCAGGAAAACGATTATTTGCATAATTGTCACGAATGGGCGAGGCATTGAGAGGCTAAATTTAAAACTACTCGAGCCAGCCGCAGAGTCAATTCTTTGCAGCGACTTGCAGGTAGCTCCCAGCGAAAAGTCGAATTGTTGGAACTTTTGTAACTTTTTCGTCGCCTTTGCCCAGGTGAGGTGATCCTATTTAATTTTAATTTTCTATGCTTTATATGCGGCGACTTGCTGCGAGTTACAGACTTGGCAACATCAAATCTAAAACAGTCTTCAGTGTTATAAACCGTTCAGTCCTGTCGCTGCTAAGTTTTAAAAACAACTTAAGGATTTGTAAAACGAATGGTTTGCAAGTATTAGACTGGGGAAGTTTAGCCACATAATTGAATAACAATTTAAAGATTACGCTTGCATATGACACTGATTTTTAAACAGTTTCTTTTAAAAGCAGTGCTGTGATGAACAGTTATCGAGACTCGAAACTTTAGCTTGCACTCTCTCCTTGGATGATGCCCTTTGACCCGCTGTGATCGCCAGTATTTGTTTTCAATAAACAGTGCATGTTTTTTCTCCTTAACAATGGTTCCTGCTGAATAGTAATTCGCAAATCTAAAAGTTAGCTTTATCCTAGAGTTACAAATCTTGTACCATCTCAAAACTAAACTGCACCTGTCAGTTCTGAGGAAGGGTCACCGGACCCGAAACGTTAACTCTTTTTTCCTTCACAGATGCTGCCAGACCTTCTGGGCTTTTCCAGCAACTTTGTTTTTGTTCCTGCACCTGTCAAATTCAAAACAGATTAGTAGCTGGATTAGAGGGAAAGAACGCCAGAATTGAGTTTTTTTTTACCCAGAGTGTGTTAAGAATCTGCAATTCAGTGCCTGAAAGAGCGCCATATTTTTAACAAACATTTAATAGCTGATGAAATGTGACCTGCAACGTTGCTGGCCGAGTGAAGGAAGGTGGGATCAGACGAGGCAGCTTTTGTTGACCAGAATGGACGTGATGGACTGAACGGCCGCCTTTTTAAACAGAAATAATCGCAAGGCGCTGGAAATGCTCAGCGAGATGGTGTAGTATACGTGGCGAGAGAAGGTCCAGCGTACATACAAACCCTGTCTGGATACTTTCTATTCAACCTGCTAGGGATGTCATGACACCCACCTTGGGACTTGAGCCCAGGGTCTCCTGGCTCAGAAGGGAGGCGCATCACAAGACCCTGAGCTGATGGGTGGTTCCAGCATTTTTCCACCGTATTTCAACCTTCTATGATTTACTTATTTTTTGTTGTTGCTTTGGAAGGTACTGCGGATTAGCAGAGCCCGGATTAGGAGCTAGTATGCGTTTATAGTTGGGGGGTGACTATTGGTAAGAACCGTCAACAATGAACATGAAATATTGTTTCACAGGAGTAGGTGTTAGAAGTGGGAGAGACTCCTGATCACTCAGAGCCATGCGGCCTCTCTATTGCAATACAGCCTGCACTCTTCCTTGCATTAAGGGACTGTGCTCCTGATAAAATTAAAATTGCTACGAGTTTGGATCAAAGGGCCATTCGGCCCTTCCAGCCAGCTTCGATATGATCATGGCCGGTCATCTAGGTCATTATTCTGTTTCTACTTTTGCCCCATACCCTTTGATCCCTTTAGCCCTGAGAATGATAGCTATGTTTTGATCGAAAAGCACCAGTGCATGGCCTCTAGGAACTGGACCTTAATTGTAATGCAAATTGGAAATTGAAACTTATTACAAGAAGCCTTTAGAAACTCCCTTTCACTGAAATGACCTTATCTCAAGGAAGAAAATATACGATCCTTACCTAGTCTGCCCCAAATGTAATTCCAGACTGACAGCAATGTGGTTGACTTTTTAACTGCCCTCTGAAATGGTGAAGCAAGCCACTAAGTTGTCAAGAAAGTGGTTCACTACCACCTTCAGAAGGGCAATTAGGGATGGACATTGCTAACTTTGCCAGCAATGCCCGCATGCCACTTTTTAAAAAGTTTTTGCAATTAAAGAAGATCATTTATTGACCGGCTAAAGATACAAAGGGCTGAACAAATAACCAAATGGTCTAACGCGCTGCATGCTTTCAACTCGGATACAAAAGCAAAATATTGTAGATGCTGGAAATCTGAAATAAAACAGTATACACATCACGGCAGGCAGCACCTGGAGAGGAAGAAACAAAAATTCAAACTTCAGTCGATGGCCATTCATCAGAACTTGAGAAGGGTTAGGGAGCTGAAATGTGTTAATATTATTTCTCTCGCCGCACAGCCCAGCTGATGGGTATTTTCTGTTCACATTTTCCTTGTCAACTCTGAAACTCTTGACAAGTATTGCACTGGGAAGACTATGGGTTCTCTCTCTTTGAAACCCCCTCCTGGAATGTGCATTTAGAATAACAGGCAAATCCTTCCAATGCACCAGTGTTAAGAAAAAAAAGAATTAACGTTTCGGATCCGGTGACATGTTCTGAGGAAGGGTCACCGGACCCGAAACGTTAACTCCGTTTTTTGTCTTCACAGATGCTGCCAGACCTGCTGAGCTTTTCCAGCAACTCTGTTTTTGTTCCTGATTTACAGCATCCGCAGTTCTTTCGATATAACAAGGTGTAGAGCTGCATGAACACAGCAGGCGAAGCAGCATCAGAGGAGCAGGAAAGCTGACGTTTCGGGTCTTTCGGTTGTTATTCACCAATGTTAAGATTGGGAGAGACTCTTGGTCATGCAGAACCGTGCGGTAACATTGCAATACTGACCACAAGCTGCACTCTGAAAAGTGACTTCCTTGCATTGGGGGACTGCTCCTGATAAAAGTTAAAATTGCTACGAGTTTGGATCAAACGGTATGTTTCTCCTTGCGGTGTCAAGGTGCAGGATATCACACAGCGATTACAAAAGCTTCTGAAATGGGATGGTGCATACCCAGAGTAGATGGAGCACGATACGAGTAGAAATGAGGCTCTTCGTCAGATGTTGAGAATAAGGAGTATGAACCTCTGATACTGAGTATGTACCCACGCCAGCTGAAATGCAACAGTGCAAGACGTCAGCTCACCGCTACCTTCTCGAGGACAATTTGGCTGAGCAAAATATGTTGCCCTTTTCGGCCGAACCTACATGTGATTGAATTTTAAAAACAATGCATCCTAGATGATGCCAACCACTGGACTGTAACAGGGAGAGAAGGGTTGGGATTGTCAACAAAGTGGCTGGAAGCATGGGAAGGGAGGGTTTCAGATTTCTGCAGTATTGATAAAACCTGCAGAGGTTGTAAACTGGAGAGACTTCATGAAAGCTGTAAATACAGCAGCTCAGACAGATTTAAATTAGGTGGTGTTTAGGAAGAGGGATATCAGCCATGCTGACATTGAGTGCCCCAACGCAGACTTGATGGGCTGAGCGGTCTAATCCTCATTGCTCTTATCTTCCTGGATGTTGCAGAGTTGTCAAATAAACTTGAAAGAAGGGTAGATGAACATTATGGGGTTTGTACTTTAGCATGGAGTTCGTGTTTCATTAAAAAGTGAAAGAACTGCAGATGCTGTAAATTAGAAACAAAAACAGAAATTGCTGGAAAAGATCAGTAGGCCTGTGGAGAGAAAATAGAGTTAACTTTTGGGTCAAGTGAGTTCTGTGGAAAGGTCACTAGACCTGAAATGTTAACTCTGATTTCTTTCCACAGATGCTGCCAGACCTGCTGACATTTTCCAGCAATTTCTGTTTTTGATCATGTTTCATTAGTTACCCTTATGTTAGAATCTGGACTAATTCCAGCAATTGCAAAAGGCTAACAGAATTAAACTCTAAGGCTGAAAAAGAGACAATAGTAGTGGAAAAATAACCATATGAGACCTAGTTATTTTTCCATCTTTCTCAGTCTTTTGATACCTATTATGGAGAAACATTGAGAGTGAGATGTTACCCAACTTCATAAAGGAATTGCTGACAATTGTGATCATGTAGAATGAGTGAGAGTGAGAGCCAGGGCAGCCAGCCAGCCAGCCACACATACTGGTATTAACATAGAACTGAGCTTATCCTTCCATGTACAGACCCTAACAACAAGTTAGTTTTGTTTCTTCCAATTTTGAAAGTGAATCTAAGTGATCCACCTCACTAGCATTGTGACAATCTGAAATTACAGTGGTATTGATACCGTAACAGGCCGTTCTTTTGACCTCATGTACCAGATTACGTTCAATATGTTTAATAGGTCACCCCCACATCAGCCTCCACTTTTCTAGAGAAATATCATTCTTGGATTGGGAAATAGCTTTGTTTCCTGATTTTTTTTTAAAAGTGTCATTCTTCATGGAATCACACAGAAGCTACAGCACAGAAAAAGGCCATCAGCCCCAATTCTATATAATTCAGCTTTCATGTTGCTCCCAACTGTATGCTCATACTTTCCAGATCCTTCTATCCCTTTCTCCCTCATGTAATTATCAGGCTTCTTCATAAGTATACTCATACTATTCACCCAATTAGTTCCTGTAGCAGCAAATTCCACATTCTAATCCTTATTTGTCAGGTAGTTTCTCCTGACTTCCCAGTTTGATTAATGCTATTTTTAAATTGTGTTTTGTTTTGGAAACTCCCACAAGAGGAAATATCATCACTAGATTTATTATCCCACTTCTCAGAACTACAAAGAATCTTGAAAACTTAAATCAGGTCACACCTCCTCCTTCTGATTATTCTTAGAAAAATGAATCCCAACTTTTTTAATCTTTCAGGTAAAGTATAATCTTTTAGTTATGAATCACGTTACTCCATGTCTGATCTGACCATGTTTAACATAACTTATCCAATTTTCAATTCTAACTCTATATGAAAGAATCCCACTGAGGGTCTAGGCGCGAAACGTCAGCCTTCCTGCTCCTCTGATGCTGCTTGGCCTGCTGTGTTCATCCAGCTCTACACCTTGTTATCTCAGATTCTCCAGCATCTGCAGTTCCTACTATCTCCAATCCACAAGTTTATTCATTTTCAAAATGTGCTCCATTCTTTTATATTTTCAGTTTTTCAATGTTTTTCAATTACATCATTGAGTAAAGATTCCATTATGCTTCCTGGCATAATCCATTGAATACCTGTAATTGTTTGCCCCATATTCCTGTGAAGGATGACTCCAAGCAATAGCATTCCTCATCAAAGCATTCTCTATTAACTGTATCTAATAAGTTGTGCAGCTTCACTCTGGTACACTCCAAACTATAACATTTTCAATTGACATTTTCAGGTATATACAAAGGACAACAGAGATGACTTTTTATGATGGTATTTTCCCCTTCTATCCAACGTCAAGAACACCAGTGGTGTTCAACACCATCCAAATTGTGGTCATCATTATATTTTTAGTCTTCCTGGTGGCCTTTCTTGTCATACTGATCGGCATTCGTGGGATTGAAGTAAGTACCTATTTTACTTGCAGTTTTAATTCCAGAGCACGCAAACACTAGAAAATGCATAACAACAAAAGTAATTTTAATTAAGGAGTTTAGGTGGGTTTGCAAACAGCTGTTTTTGGAGCAGAGAAGGTTAACCAGACTTTTAAAGTGCTGAAAATTATGAGAAACTTTGACAGATCAAGCAAAGAGAAATTTAATCTAACATCAGCAAGTTTGGTAAGAAGAATTAAGATAACTAACCAGAGGGAACATGATGCAACTGTTTTTTTTAATGCCATGAGTTGTTGTGATCTGGAATGAGATTCAATATTAACTTTCAAAGCAGGATGCAAAGGGAAATCCCTGGTGTATGGGAAGTAACAGAGTGGAGAAAGGTTAATTTGGATAGCTGTTTCAATTATTCTGCACTGTTTTGATGGGCCAAATGGCCTCCTTTTTCTGTCCATATGATTCTACAGCACCAATATCTAAATGCACTCAATCCAACATAAGTGCAGACACGAAATACATTTTCAACATCATTTTCTGGGAAAACTACCAATTGAGGAATTATTTTTCTATGTAACATATTTTTTTTCTTCCTGAGCCCAGCTCAACTATGCCATTTGAATCCCAAATAGAGAAGGACTTTGTTCACACTGCAGTCTGCATCCGAGCTCCCACATAGGGAGGCAATGGCATAGTGGTATTATCGCTGGACTGTTAATCCAGAGTCCTAGCTAATGTTCTGGAGACCCAGGTTCAAATCTGGAATTAAGAGTCTAATGATGACCATAAATTCCATTGTCAACTGTTGAAAAAGCCCATCTAATTCACTAATGCCCTTTAAGGAAGGAAACTTCCATCCTTATCTGGTCTAGACTATATGTGACTCCAGACTCACAGCAATGTGGTTGACTCCCATCCTCTGGGATGGGCAATAAATGCTGGCCTAGCCATATCCTCATCCTATGAATGAATAAAAAGAAAAATTGGCTATTTTAGGAGAGGCTGTATCTGACCCTGGTACTTTAGCTAGATGGTAGGGGGCAACCGACGAGAGTTTGTCTGATTCTGTTTACAGCAAAAGAGTCATTTCAAAGGCAGTGCATGAGTCTGACTCAAAACAATTTGCTTCCATGCATCCCTATTTGAACCTTTTTTTGAAAAACGGTGAGAAGCGTCTAAAAGGGAAGTGGGGAGAAAACTTTTCTCAGTGTCTTTTTGCTGCAAATTCACACTTACCATATAGCATCAACAGCATTAACGTACAATTCACCTTGATAGGACCTTAAGGTCATAAGATGTAGGAACAGAAGTAGGCCATTCAGCCCATTGAATCTGCTCTGCCATTCAATGAGATGATGACTGATCCAATAATCCTCCATTCCACTTTCCTGCCTTTGCCCCATGACCCTGGATTCCCTTCCTCATTAGAAATCTGTCTGTCTCAGCCTTGAATATGCTTAGCCACCCAACATATATAGCCTCTGTTGTAAAGAATTCTACAGATTTACTATCCTCTGAGAGAAGAAATTCCTTCTCATCTCTCACTTAACTGAGTGAGCCCTTGCTCTGAGAAAAGCCCTCTGTTCCGAGACTGTCCCACAAGGAGTAACACCTCTCTGCATCAACCATGTCAAGTCCCCTCAGAACTTTGTATTACACTGGCATTCATTTCCTACACCACACAGACATGGTCCATTTGGAGTTAGAACCATGTTGTGTGATTTTCTGAAATCAAGCTTTTCTGCCTTTAGTCAAACTGGTAACACAAAAATCAAACCCCAGATCACAGCTTCCCTGGCTTCATGGTCAAAAGTGCTGGGAATTGAGAATTGAGAATATTGAATATTTAGAATGCAAGAGGTAACACCAGTTTATTTATCTTAGTACAATTTCAATGTGCTGCGAGGATCGATACACTCCTCACTCTAGGGGCTAGCCCTGAGCTGACTAGTCAGAGCTCATGTACTGTGCACATGTAAATAAAGGGTGACTTGGTGATGAGATACTGGCCTCTATGCCACTATTTCAGTAGGGTACCCAGTTGTCTCAGAACCTGGTGAATTATTCCAGTGAAAGGACAATGATTCAGCCATGTCTTTGAATAGCAGAACAGACTTGTTGGACCAAATGGCCTGTTTTTGCTTCTACATCTTGTTGTCTTATGGTTGAAATATTGGTGAGGCACAGTGCTTACATTCTTTGCCAGTGGATGCTGTTTTTTTTTCTACTATAAACTGTCTGATCATTTTCCAGAAACTACACTGGTTCATGAGGGTCACCCTGAGTCTCTTCATTGGTGCCGTCATTGTTGGTGAGTACCATCAGATCCATCCTTAAGGCCACTTTTCATTGCAAAAACCACCTTCCAGGAGAGCCCATCAGTGCAGCAGTGTGCTGCATCACTTAGTCCTGCTCTAACTCAAGTTATGGCAACAAATTACTCCAAAGCAATATTTGAAACTGTGTAACTTTAAATTGGCCAGCCTTGTGCTTTGCTAAGAGAGGAACAAGCCAGAATGTAAGGAATGAGCAGCAAACAGTTAAATACTAGGATGTTATTGCCAGTTAAGTGCAATAGGAAGCACTTGTTCTGAAGACAGGATCTTCAATACACAAAAGGATGGGTCGTGTGATATTACTACTGATCCCCTTCTGTTCAGTCTGCGTGGGAATTTCAAGGCTGAATGGTGCCTCAGAGTGGATGTCAGACATTTATTTTTCAATAACCACTATTTAAATGTGGTTATTGTAGAACTGTGAGATCAACAATTGATTCTTATTGGGAAACCTGACAAGTAACTATCCAACTCCAGTGAAGGGAGCACTGCTCAGTTAATTTGAATTCATCTTGACCTATTACATCAGAACAGACAGAGGTGGGATGCTGGATACAGGTACAAGACATTTGCTACTGTTCTTGTTGTGGTTTTTAAAAAGGGTGGCTGTAGTGATTGGATTGAGGGTCATGTGGATCTCATTGACTAGAGATCTTTGATTAGGATTTGTTAATCAGGGAGGCCTGGCTGACAGATATAAACAGGAGATTCAGAGAGCATCCTCACTCTAGGGGCTGGCCCTGAACTGACTGGTCAGAGTCCATGTATTATGCACATATAAATAAGGGGTGACTCAGTGATGGGATACTGGCCTCTGTGCCATTATCTCAGTCGAGAACCCAGTTGTCTCAGAACGTGACAGAATTCCGTCCATCTCTCTCTCCCAAGTCCAGGAGTTTCAGGATGTTGGTGTCTGGACAGGAACCGTAGCTGTTAGTGATTTTCCCATCCAACGTGGAAATGTAATTATTCTTTGGCTGGTGTGCAAAAGGAAAATGCAAACCTGGACTGAGGTCTGCAAAAAGCTAAAGCAGAAGTACAGGGTAATAGGGCAGTTGGCCCCTTTCTGAAGTATAATATTTGGAGACAATAGCAATTTCACAACCTGAATATTTTTAAGTGCAAAGGGCTATTATTAGAGTTTTTTTTTAACTTGAGCAAAACTAGATATCGTTGAGCTGGGAGGTATATGCATGTGAGACTTCAATTTGTAATTAAATATTACACTGAGTAAAGTTTAGTCTAGGATCACCTGTTTACTAATAGGCTTTAGTCAACAACAAGAATTTTAATAGTGTAAAACACCATTTCAAACTTGACATAGATAAATGAGCCATTAGCCATAGAGGAAGTATTGACCTCGTGGAATTATTGCTAGATTATTAACCCAGAGACCCAGGTAACGTTCTGGAAACCTTGGTTCAAATTCTACCAGAGGACAGATGGTAAGGTTTGAATTCAAAAGAAAATTTGGAATTAAGTGTCTAATGATGACCATGAGACTGTTGTCAATTGTTGGGAAAACCCCATCTGGTCCGTTAATATCCTTTAAGGAAGAAAACTGTCATCCTTACCTGGTTGTGATGTGGGGTGGACAAAGTCAGAAGTCATACACCAGGTTGTGGTCCAACAGTTTATTTAAAATCACATGCTTTCAGAATGCCGCTACTTCATCATCCTTCACCTGTTGAAGGAACAGTCCTTTGAAAGATTGTGATTTTAAATAAACCTGTTGGACCATAATCTGGTGTCATGTGACTTCTCACCTGGTCTAGTCTACGTGGAACTCCAGACACAACAATGTGGTTGACTTTTAACTGCCCTCTGGGCAATTAGGGATGGGCAATAAATTCTTGCCAAGCCAACAACACCCTTATCCTGTGAATGAATAGAAAAAAAAACTTGCAAATTAAATAACATTGAGAAGTATAGAAGGAAATTCAAAGCTACAGGAGAAACGTTACAGGGGAAGTAAGAAAATAGGATGCTTTAGTTGGTTTATGAATTTGAATCAGATTGTTGGATGCACTTGAGAAGACAAGGATCAGCAAAGTACATCTTCCCATTTGGTGAAGAGGAAGCCTCGTAATTTCCTTTGTATTTCTCTTTCAGCTGTCAATTTCACCAATGACTGGGAGAGAGGTTATGCCATGGTGAACACAACATATAAATCCTTCAGCAATGAGAAAGTCAAAGCAGAAGTTGGGATTCACATTGGGTTGAAAGGAGTAAATGTAACTCTGAAAGGTAGAGTTTTTGTTTATTTTCCCTCTCCACCTCTGTTTGCTGCATGTGATAGTGCAATGGCTGTGGTCTTGGACCATGAGCTGAAATCCAAGCATTGAAAGCTGTCATGGTGAATTCAAAAGACATGCTGGTTTTGTGGGCTGATGCAAAGGAAAGAGAAGATTGGTTGCAGAAGCTGGCAGACGGTTGTGAGAACCTAACCAGTTTGCTAATGTAGAGAAGAGGACTAAACTTACCTGACAACATGCAACTGCAATCCCACACCACATGGTGACTCTTGGTGCTCTCTGACGTTGCCTAGAAAGCTCCTCTGTCACAGAAACAAACATATACAGCCAAATGTCACCTATTAAGACAATCAGAGGAGAAGTAGGTCATTCAGCACATTGAAACTGCTCCACCATTCAATGAGATCATGGCTGATCTGAAACCTCAACTCTATTTTCCTGCCTTTTTCTCCATAAGCCTTGATTCCCTCACTGATTAAATATCTATCTATATCAGCTTTGAATATACTTAACTTGGGAAAATTGGGAACCTTGGGAAAATGAGTGATAGTAAGTTCAGCCTTGGCAGTGCAGCCCAGGAGCAAATGCATTTTAAAATATTTTGCCTTCAGTTTCCTTTTTGAGCTGATCCACAGAGGTTCCCACCCTCCCATCTCCAATCTCTCAATCTCCCAGTCTCTCAATCATAAACATGTTTAGTAATTGAGCATAATTCAAGTGCTTGTTTAGAAATGAAGGATAGTTCTAGGGCTCTTATGATGCAATGATAGTGTCCCTACCTCTGAACAAGATTGTCTGGGCTCAAGTCCTAAATGCTCCAGAGGTGTACGATAATATCTGAATGGACTGTTTAAAAATACCTATAAAGAAGCTCAAGGTGCACAGTGACTAAATAGGTTTGTGCTCTAGATCATGTATTGAATCATTAAATAACTCGTACCATTTAGTTGCAAGTCAAAACTCTTAATGTAAGGAGGAAAAATGCTAATGAGAGTTAATAAGCCATTATGTGTCTGCAGGACTCCCTGAGACTCAACTTCATGAAATCATCAACTACAACGAAGAGTTTCTTTGGCAGTTTGGATTGAACTATGAAAGCCAATATCGCAAAGGGCTAGAGAGGGGCCTTCCAAACCCAATTCTGTACATAGCAGAGAAGTTTACTCCCAATAGCCCGTGTGGTGTGTATTCGCAGTACAGGGTCTCTGGACAGTATGCCTCTGCTACAATGTGGTAAGTTATAGAACAAACATTCAGTGCGTTAAGAGTGAAATGTTGTCACATCTTCTGTCTAAGGCTATGACTACATCTTAAGACTTAGCCATATCTTCTAAAGACTCAGTTGCTAACTTAGCGATGGAGTTGCAATGGGCAGTGTCTGGCCCAGCAGCAAGTTGAACTTGGCACAAAAGTGTCAAGTTGACAAAACAAAACAAAACATCACTTTGACCATAAGTTCAGAATTTTTCCAAACAGGCAAAGGCCTTACCCAACCAGCCTTGATGTGAGCATTTTCCCATGGCCAACTCACCTAACCTATACATCCCTGGACACTACAAGCAATTTAGCATGGCCAATCAACCAAAACTGCACATCTTTTGACTGTGGGAGGAAACTGGAGCACCCTAAGGAAACCCACGCAAACACAGGAGAATATACAAACTCCACACGGACAGTCACCTGAGGCTAGAATCAAACACAGGACCCTAGCACCATGAGGCAGCAGTGCTAACCACTGAGCTACCATGCCACCCATATCTGAAAATGTGTTTCCTGATTTCATCACTGAATGTCCTAGCTCTCACTAGGTTCTGTCCCTTGATCTAACGTTTCGGCCAAATCATATATTTTCTCTGGATCTATCATATTGTATCCTTTAATCACTTGAAATGCTATGATTTGATCACCCTTCAATCTTCTGTACTTGGGAATGTAAACCTAGTCTGTGCAAACTATCATCATCATTTGACGGTTTTTAGCCCCATCTGCACAAAGATGTAAAAAGATTGAGGAAGAGTTTTTATATGTTTTTCTTATTTACCAGGGTGGCTCTGTGTGCTTGGATGCTTTCCAATATCCTTCTGTGGCTGCTTGTCTTTTTATATGGAGGATACATGATACTGGTAACCGGCTTTTTCATGATTTTCTCGTTGATCTCATTTGGTACAACGAGACATACGCCACTCTGTGCCATCCAGTTTGATGATATGAAATTACAGAGCGCCCTTGGGCCATCCTTTTGGCTAACTTTAGCAACAGGTAAGTGCCAAGGTCCAGCCATTGCTAGGGGGAGGGTGGAAGGAGGACCAATAAAATGTCAATCCATTTAATTCCACTGTGGACTAATCTAGTGGAGAAACTAATAACACATGCAATATTAATAATCAGACACTATTAGTTACACAGTGACATTGTGGCAAAAGATGGCAAAGTCCTTTGGAGAGCAGATGACTCCAAATGTTAAAGCTGTCTGATCTGCTATTTGCTCCATTCTCTATAAGACCATTGCTTATAAACCTGCTAATTCTATGGAGCATCCATACAACCTACACTTTTGGCACAGTGGCTTCTATTCCCATATATGTGCGTGTTATCCAAAATAAATTCAAAAAGGTGCTGGGAACAATCAGCAGATCAGATGGTATCTCTGGAGTGAGAAACAGTTGATGTTTCAGGCCACCTTCTATCAGACCTGGAAGGAGCTGATATTTTGTAAATCAGTGCAAAGCCAAGGTAAAGAGTGGGGAGTAAGGGTATAGGGCAGAAGAGGAGGATGAGTGGATGGGGTAGGCACAATTGAGCCATCATTCCCTACTGAGGTTTGATCTCCTCTTGTGTGTGGGCGTGCATGCACATGCAATTCTCCTCCCCATATAACATGATCTTTGCATGCATCCAATGTATACACTATGTAATCTTCTGGGAAATGTACAACTTGAATTAATGGTCCAGGCTATTGAGGAGTGGGAATTGGAGGAATCAGCCTCTGTAGGTGATTGGAATTAGATCAGGAGCTTGCTGAGATCCTGAATGATCTCACATGGTAAATATCCATTGTGTATCGTCATCTGCCCTCTTGTTAGAAACAACATTTCTGAAGCTTCTACCCTGAGCAAATCAGTGAATCACAGTCAACTGACAAAGCTGATGACTACTCTGGATTCCGCTTTTTCCTGATAGAAGAACCATTTCCAGATATCTAACTTCAGGCTATAACCCTTAAATCCTACCTGGAATAAACTGCCAACTCGAACACATTCTGTCCCCTGCATGATTTGCTAATCTGCAGTCGATTTAGGGATTGGCAGCTAGAGAATCACAGACTTGGAGGGGGTGCAATTTGACTTTTATTTTTAAAATGTCCATTCACAGTATGTGAGTATCACTGGCTTGGCTAGCATTTGTTGCCCATTCTTCAAGGCCCTGGATAAGGTGGGAGGGAGCTGCTGCCTTGTGCTGCTGTGGAGGGTGCACCAGGACTTTGACCCAGTGACCGTGAAGAAACAGTGATATATTTCCAAGTCAGGGTTGCAAGGGTCTTGGAAGGCTAATCATAGGTGACAGTGATCCCATGTCTGCTGCCTTTATCGTCAGTAGCTAGTAGGGGTTGCAGATTTGGAGGATAGAAAACGGTTGAACTTCATAGGATCTTTTAAAGACATGAAACTACAAATGTTGGAGATAGCTGACTTTTTCTATTGTATTTCTGTGTTTCTGCAGCTTTGCTCTGTTTGATTATTGGAGTGACCATTGTGGCCATGAGCATCTTTGCTCCGACCAGGATGAGCAAGGTCTTCCTGATGAATGCCAGCAACAATGAAGAGGACAGCTACGAGACTAGTTTTTATAACCAGTCTTACAGTGATGCCTTTAAAGTGAATCAGAGTTTGCCATTGGAAGTAAGTACACAAAGCCTCAAACCCGTCTGACTCCCTGCACTCTTCTAATACTACTCAGTTGTGCATCCCTGGTCTTAATTGTTCCACCGTAGGCGAACATGGGTTTAGCTGAGCCCCACACTCTGGATTTTCCTCCCTATACTTCTCCATTCTTTGATCTGACTAAAATCTTTGACCACACCACACTCTTTACCGAAAGATGCTGTAAATCAGGAACGAAAACAGAAGTTGCTGGAAAAGCTCAGCAGGTCTGGCAGCATCTGTGAAGGTAAAAATCAGAGTCTCACAGTTCTGAGGTAGGGTCACCAGACCTGAAACGTTAACTCTGATTTTTTCCTTCGCAGATACTGCCAGACCTGCTGAGCTTTTCCAGCAA